GTATACATATACCACATTTTATTAATCCACTCATGTATTGATGGGCACTTGGGTTGTTTCCACATCTTTGCAATTGTGAATTGTGCTGCTATAAACTTCACCTTTTAAAAGTTCTTTTCATGTATTAGCTAGAGCTTTACAGCAACCCTGAGTGGTAGGTATTATTAGCCCATTTTTACGATAAAAACCCGAGAGGTCAAAGAATGACTTGGTCAAGGGCACAGACAAGAGAGAGCTGAGAACCTCTCAAAGACCCCTCTTCCCTCTTCCACAGCCTAGGATTTGGCCCTGGCAGCCCCCAGCCCAGGCCACTCACGCCTCCACCAACTTCATCATCGTGGGCTTCATCTTGAGCTCCTCCACAGTGTCGGCCACAGCCTGCCTCACAGCCTGCAGAGGGATCCACGTGGGACGACAGAGCGAGGGGACGCAGGGGTGTGCATGTAAGTGCTTCACAGACCTTTCTAAACACTTACTTTGCCCTACATAGAGTCCCTGCTTTGAGTCTGGTTGAGGAAGCAGACAAGTAAGTGTGGAATTACAGTACTGCGTAGGGTGCACACAGGAGGGTCTGCTGACTCAGTCTTGGGTGGTGGAAAGATATCTCGGAGGAAGTGACGCCCCAGCTGAAACGTGGAGGGTGAGTAGGAGTTCATCAGGCAGAGGGTAGGGGGCAGGCAGATTTTGGGGGCAGAGGGGAGAATGTGTACAAAAGCCCGGAGGCAAGAGAACGTGCGGAGGGACGAGGAGCTGAAAATAGTTGAGCTTTATGTGGTGGCCAAACCGACTCTTCAGAGTGCCTCTGCATAATTCCACCGTGACACAGCTAAGGCAGGACATGGTTGTCCTAAGCACAGCTGGGGTGTGGCTGAGGGGGCCAGCGATGAGAGATGAAGCTAGGGAGGTGGGCAATATAACATCCTGAGGGCACTGGGAGCCAGGGAAAAGTTTTATGCAGCGGTAAGACAGTCTCATCTGCATTTTAGAAAAATGTCTTTGGAAATGCTGTGGTCAGTTTTATAATGAGCCATAATAAAAATAAAAGCAAAGGAACATAGAGGAAGGCAGGACTGATTCCAATTGGTGATTTGGGAAAGCTTCCCATGGGAGGTGTCATTTGGACTATTCTTGAAGGAACAAGATAGTATTTTGATAGGATAGAGAGAGGGGTTACTTATCAGTGGGAGTGAATAGTACGAGGCAGTTTTTTACCTTACAGAAGAGGGAGGGACGACTTGGCATTTTAAGCTGAGACACCTGCCTGAGCAAAGGCGATGTGGCTTGAAAACATGGACGGCCTTAGTCACACAGGGAGGACGTTAGGGCGAATGTGATACTTGAGGGTAGGGAGAACCAAGCCAGGAGAGGTCTCCAGAGAAGGGAAAGGAGGCAGGTTTGGACTGTCTGGGCTTGGGAGCTTTGGTCTCACTTACGACGAAGGGTTCATTGTGTATCTTCCTCCTGAGCAGGTCGAATGTGAGTTCCTCCAGTCCCTGTGCCTGGATCTGTTCCAGCCCAATGGTCTTGAGCATCTGGGTGGCTTCAAAGCGGTCCTGAGGTCAGGGGTGGGGGAGGTGTGAGAGATGAACTCCCTTCTTCATTCCCCAGCCCTATCGCGGTGCTGGGAAAGGAAGGGTCCAAGGCAGCCAGAGCTTACGTCAAGGACACTGGAGGAACACAGCTGGTCTAGGATGGCCCTGATGACTGCGGCTGAGGACACGTGCATCATCTTGACCAGCATCCTAAGTGCCTGTGAGGGGCAGGGTGGGGCAGAGTGCACAGGGCCTAGAAGCATCTGGATAGCTAGGTGGACTTGAGGGCTGAGCCTAGAACTGGTGAGGAACATGTGGGTTTCTTTTTCTCCTGCCTCTTGAGTGAGAACACAAGGTTGCATGTGTACCTATGTGCACATACATAAATGAACACCCATACCTGTCAAATATACTCAAACACATGTACACTTATATGTCCACATGACCCCATACTCAGACACGTTTATAGACACACAGGGGACCCTGCAGTGCCCCACCACCAGGATGCTAGGATCCAGACCCCCTCAGTTCCTCAGTCCTCTCCAGGGAGCCCAGCCTCCTGTCCCTCACACCTTCATCCGCTGGGTCTTGAGCCCTTTGCACAGGAACTGCAACAAGAACTCTCGGGCCATGTTGCTGTAGGGCTTCAGGAAACCCAAGCACAGGGCTGCCTCCAGGGCCATTTCATTCGATGACTTCTTTATCAACGCCTGCAGCACAGGTACCAGCTTCTCTTCATCCCCAACTTGAGTCCTCTAAGGGGGAGGGAGATAGGAGGGGAAGTGGGTTGGGATGGGGCTGTGTTGTCAACCAGGCTTTGTGCTTTTTTAATTTTAATTTTAATTTTTTAGAGACAGGGTCTTTCTCTGTCACCCAGGCTGGAGTGTAATAGCATGATCATAGCTCACTGCAGCCTTGAACTCCTGGGCTCAGGCCAGCCTCCTGCCTCAGCCTCCCCAGTATCTGGGACTACAGGCACATACCACTGTGCTGGGCTAATTTTTAAATTTTTTGTATAGATGGGGTCTCGCTATGTTGTTCAGGCTGGTCTCAAACTCCTGGCCTCAAGCGATCCTCCCACCTCAGCCTCCCAAAGTGCTGGGATTGCAGGCATGAGCCACAGCTCCTGGCCAGGCTTTGTGCTTTACAAGAGGACAATACTTCCAGATCATTCTCCTTCCTCCCTCAAATGAATCTCATGCCATCAGATTATTTCACCCACGCTGTCACCTACTCACTCCTAGGTCATATCTCCTCATTTCTCTATGACTTTCTCTCAGGGATGGATAAGTGCTACTCTCTTTAACACTTCTGATGTCTTAATTCTTGGCATTAGAAAAAAATAATGCATGAAAGTGATCCAACACCTCTCCTCCAATAACCATGTCCTGCACTCCGCCTCAGCCACTAATCCCTCAGAGAGGTCATTACCCACAGCTGCAACTTCTCCATAATCTCCGTTTCATGGATCCCACTCTCTGACTGTCACCTGTTTTTCCAGCTCACCTCCCAACACCAACAATTGTTGCTCCGCAAAGGACTGACAATCTATTGAGCCTGCCATTGCTCCTCACCTCGTTCCCTCTTTACCCAGCTTGAAATCCATGGTGCTGCTATAGCCACACCCCTGCCTCGCTCTTAAGTGCTTTACCCCTCTTGCCTCTTTGTGCTCCCTGACAGAACTGCAATCCCGGTCAAAACCAACTCTCCACTTACTCTGTGCCTGCGTTTCCTGGAGAAAGACACACAGTCATGATGACTGACTTTGCTGTAAATGCATGAACGCAAACCTCATGTAAACCCTTGACGCCGCCTGGTAATCGTGCTGTTTTTCCCTGGGCAATTCTCTTTCTCACTCTTCCTAGTTCACACCCTTTCCTCTGGAACCTCTAACACTTGTTCCTCTTTCTTGCTCTCAGCTGATCACCTTGTTTTCTACTTCACTGAGAAAATAAAAGCAACCAGAGAAGATGTGCCATAGACACCTACCACCGCTCTATCCAACTTTCAACACCTGCACCCACCAAAATGGTGCCATTAAGTTAATCAACGATTCACAACTTGTTCAATCCACGTATCAATTCTCAGTCCTTATATTACTTGAGACAGTTGATTTCTCTCCTTTCCTGGATATATGTTCTTCACTTGATTTTCAGAACACCACACTCTTGGTTGTCTTCTTACCTCATTGGCCACTTCTCAAGATTGATTTGTTCTTCCTCTTCTCCCTGACCTCCTAACATCGGGGTGTCCCAAAGCTCAGTGATCTCATCTAGTTTAGTGACGTTAAGTGCTATCTGCATGCCAATAACTCCCAGATTTCTTTCTCTAGTTCAGTCTTCTCTCACAAACTCCAAATTGTATATCTAACCATTTACTTGCTATCTCCGTTGGAGTTCCAGTAGTTTTCAGACATAACTTGTCCAAAATTGGATTTCTTTTTTTTTTTTTGTGGTTTTTTTGTATTTAATTTTTATATAAAAACTAGACTTCTGCTGTTACCCCCAAACCTGTTCCACCTGCAGCTTTCTTGACCTTAGTTGATGACAACGTCATCTTTTCAGTTGCTAGGCCAAAAACTTTGGCTTCATCCTTATTTCCTTATTGTCTTTTACAACTCACATTCAACCTGAGTTTTACTTTTAAAATATCTCCAGAAATTAATCACTTCTTGCCAACTGCATTGTGACTACTGTGGTCCAAGCCACCATGACCTCTTGCCAGGATTGTTTCAGTAGCCCCTGATTTGTCTCCCTGCTTCCACTTTTGGGCCCCCACTCCCAATCTTTTTGTAACACAGTAGTCAGAATGAACCCTTTGAAATATAAGGGTTAGATCATGTTATAGCTCTGCTCCAAAGCCATGAATGGCTCCCTATTTCACTCAGAGTAAAAGCCCAAGTACTTAACACAGCCCTGAAAGCCACATATGATCTAGTCTCTAGTTAACTTCTTTAACCTGACCTGCATTTCCTATTGCTCTGTTTCTACTCCACTTCAGCCATACTGGCCTTCTTGCTGTTCCTTGACCATATCAAGCATGTTCCTGCCTTTGTCCTGGTCCTTCTGCCTGGAACATCTTCTCTCAGATATCCATAAGGCTAACCCCCTCATCTTCTTTATGCCTTTGCTCAAATGCCCCTTCTAAACGAGGCCTTCCATGTCTACTGTATTTAAAATTGTAACCCATCCCCATCCCCACTTGGCACTCCTGATCACTCTTACCCTGCCACATAATTTCTCTCATTGTATTTGTCATCTCTAACATACTACATCATTTTCTTTAAATGTATTGGTTATTGTGTGTTTCCCCCCCACTAAAATATAAGCTCTACAAGGGCAAGGATCTTTGTCTGTTTGGTTCACTGATGTATCCCAAGGGTCTAGGACAGTGCCTGGCACGTGATAGCTGGTGAATGTATATTTGCTGAATAAATGGATGAATAATAATGGATTCTCTTACATGGAGCAGTAATGGGATCAGAGTAAGAGGACCCTAAAGGGAAAAAACTGTGAGTAGTGTCAGAGGACTCTCTTGGTCCCTCTCCCCTCTAGACAGAGGTTTTACTCTAATAGGTTATTTTAGGGATAATACTGATGGTTATCATTTAAAGACCACAGGCACTGTACTAGGTGCTTTACATACATTATCTCATTTAGTCTTCTCAACAGTACTATAAGACAATTACAGATGCCCCTTGACTTATGATGGCACTGTGTCCCGATAGACCTACTGTAAGTTGAAAATATTTTCAACTTATGATGGATAGGTTTATTGGGATGTAACCTCACGGTAAGCTGAGGAGTGTATTGAAGTATTGTTTTTGCACCATTGTAAAGTTGAAAAATCATAAGTTGAACATCGTAAGTCAGGGACCATCTATGCTGTCAACATTTTAAAGATGAACAAACTGGAGTTCTGCAAGTTGACTTTTCAGACGTTGTCTGGCCAGTAAGTGGTCGAGCCATATGCTTCTATTCAGCTCCACAGGGAACGTCACAAGAACAATGTCATCCTCTGTCAACACTGAGAGCTAGGTCTCCTTCTTCCTGACCCAACCCCCAGCCAAACCTATCAATTTCCTTGTCCTGCTTTGCCCCAATTACAGACTATGCTCCCAATCACCTTATCTTTAGGGACAGCAGCCCAGGAGTTCAGAGCCATTCGTAGCCCCGCCAAAGTCTCCAACTTTTGACCCTCATTTTGTCCCTTCAACTGTTTGATGAAAGACTGGATCACATGCTTATTCAGGCAACCTGGACAGGGAGAGTCCTCAAGTCAGAGCAGAGCCTCAGGTACCGCTTCCCTCCGCAAGGACCCACTGAACTCTACTGTTCCTGCAAGACTTAAAGTTCCAAGTACCAGGTGCCAAGTTGTCGCCCATCCTCCCGGACACCAGAGCAGCTGGCTGGGCGTGAACACAATCCCAGGAGCTCTCCTTCTCCCTCCCTCCCTCCAGTCTCTTCTCGCTTTTCGCCCCATCTTCCTCTCTGTGTTCAGCGTACCTAGGATCGTTCCCAGACCTTGCCAAATGCTAGGTTGGGTGTATGCTCCCCTCCCTTTTGTCCTTACCCAGAGGAGAAAGTGGCTGCACTTTCATTTTCCGACCTCCCCCAACTTCCCACTCAGGGAGAGGACGTACTCACCTAGGATGGCCAGGGTTCGATAGGCCTCACACTTCACTTTCTCTGGACCAGTTTGGGCCTAATTTAAGATGCGGGTGGTAGAAACACACAGTAAGGTGATGGAATGTCAGAGATTTAGGGGTTGTCTCAGCTTAACTTTTCATTTGACAAAAGAGGAAACTGAGGCCTATAAAGTGACCTGTGTATGCTCAAATACAGAATACAGGCAGGATGGTGCAGTGGAAGGAAAAATAACTTGAGAGTTAGACATTTGTTCAAGCCTATCTGGTGTCTAGTAGCTACTTCTTACCTCACTGGCCACTTCTCAATATTGATTTGTTCCTCCTCTCCTTGGATCAACTTAGTGTTGATTGGGTCCCTTGGCATCTCAGAGCTTCCATTTTCTCATTAGAAAAATACAGATACTAATACCTATCCTAGTGTTGTCATAAGATGGAAATGAGGTTATGGATAAGAGTGCATGCTCCCGATGGCAAACTGATATACAAGCACGGGGTGTTTTCGGTTCAGCTAGAGAATGTACTCAGTCCCAGCTTTCAGGCTTTCCTGGTTTTTCAGTCCGATGTCTTTTCTCTTAGACCAGGGGGATCTTCAGAGTCCCCTTTCCCCATCTTTTAGATCCAACTGCTATTCCAAGAGGTCAAGGGCATGAGATGGGGGTATTCCACCCACTGGTGGCTCTCTCCTTACTGGATCTGACCCATCACCGTGGCACCTTGGCAGCCTTGTCTGTGCCCAGATGCCCACACTCTACACATCAGAGACCTTGCTTCCTCCTCTCCTCAACTGTACATGGCCCCCAGACTCACCGCCTGCCGTAGTGCCTCCATGACAAACTTGTCGCTGATGCCCAAGCACCCCAGAGCCTGCAGGAAGAGGGTGGAGGAGAGGGAGGAGACCTTGGACACCACCCTGGCAGTTACCATCCTCTGGACACAGCTGGAGTTTGTGCTTGGAACCCCACCCCCACCCCCACCATCCACCTCAAGCAGCTTTTTATGTTCCAGCTCAGCCAACTCCGAGGTGTCACCACTGTCCTCTTCCTCGGCCACTTCTCACCTGTGCTGCATAGAACTGCTCATCCTCTCTGGGAGAGTTCAGGCTTTCTGTGAGTTCCTGCCCATCCAAGGCAGCCAGTAGAAAGGAAGAAAGAGAAAAATAGTGTTATAGAACTTCAGACTAGGAGCTCATCCAATCCCATCCCCTTTCCTTCTTCCCCTCCGTTTTGCAGGCAGGGACTGAGGACTGAAGGATGGTGTGAGCCCAAGGCAGGGGCACCCGCAGGGAGGGAGTCTTTCCATTCCCTCTTCCCACCACGGTCCTGACCTTTAATCTTTGCCACTTCAAGGGGTCCCCGGTAGGCTCTAGGGGCTTGGATCCCACCTGAGATTTTATAGTCAACTTGCTCATGGAGAGATGGAATTTTTCGATGTGGGTATCCTCTTTGAGGTACCTGCGTGAGAAATTGCACAGGCAGTCTTTGCCCCCTTGCATCTTCCCTTCTTCGGTTGCAAGCCCACCTCTGCCAGGGGGCCTCAGCCCAGCTCAGAGATGGGACCAGAGGAAGACAGATGAGGGCTTGGTGATATCCACCTGAGCCCATAATGGCCACCCTTCTACCCCAGGGTCCTCTCTGGGACCTATAGGCTGACGTGCCCCATTCCCTGGCCCATCCCTTCCTTGTCCTTCCTCTCTTTCCTAGAAGATGTGGAGAACGAGGAGAATAGGGAGGTGGACAGAACACACCTAGGGTGATCTCTTATTTTCCGCAACATCTTTGGGGCCTCCCGTTTCTCTCGCTGGCCATACAGGGTGTGCCAGTGTATGTAGATTTCAGGCTTCTTCGAGCAGCAATAAGGAACCGAGTTTGGCTTGCTTGGGTGCTGCCTCCAGCACTCCGGACTTGGGGGGAATTCCTCCTGTGGCACCTGGAGGGTATGAGTGGCAGAACAGTCAGAAGGGTCCCCTAAGCCCTTACTTGTGGAGGTAGAGGGAGGAAGGGGTGAAGGGAGGGGAGGGCAGAGTGAGACAGATGCACTCAGCCTCTCATTTGGGCTGGAGTCACAGCTGCCACCTAATCCACTGCATGACTTGCACGAGTTACTTCATCCCACCAAGGTCTCAGTCTTCTCATCTGTAAAATGGAGCTAATAATTTTTGATCTGTTCCCCACCCAAGGTGGTTGTGAAGATCAAAAGAGACCCAGACTGTGAAGCCATTGGTGATCTGCAAATCGATCTGAGTACATAGTTTGGTTAGTTAAAGATCTCAAAGTTCTTTGAAAAGGTCATTCGGGTGGGGGAGACATGGAATAAAGGTGGGGGAAAGACAGGCTACTGCTCATTGAGATATTTATTGGAGTACCTACTATGTGCCAAGCACTGTGCTAGGTGCTAGGTTGCAGTTGTCATCCCTGCCACTTAACAGCTTAGTTGGGAAAGCAGTCTTTCCCTCTCTCTCTCTCTCTCTCTCTCTCTCCTTTCTGAGATGGGGTCTTGCTCTGTCACCCAGGCCGGAGTGCAACGGCACAATCATAGCTCACTGCAGCCTGAACACCTGGGCTCAAATGATCCTCCTGCCTCAGCCTCCCGAGTCGCTGGGCTTATAGGCAGAAGCCACTACACCTAGCTCCAACTTTCTTTAAATAATCCACCTCTCAAACAACTTTGAAGCAGCTGCTCTGACTGCAGTGGGGTATTTTGGTTGGGCCAGGGGCTTTCTCTGAGGATTTGGCCGGGGGATTCATCCCTGTCTCTTCTCAAGCCTTTCTATCCTTACAACAGATTCCTCTGGGCAATAGGGAAAAGGGGCCTCAGCCAGTGGTTCCCAGCTTGGTGACCGAAATCCTAATAAGGGTTCTCAAGTGATTGACAAGATTTCAGAAAATGGAGCATTGACTCGTGGTGACTAGAGTTGCCAGATTTAGCAAAAACAAAAACAACAAACAAAAAACAGGACGTCAAGTTAGATTTGGATTTCAGGTAGTGAATGAAATATTTGGGACATTTTTTATTGAGACACAGTCTCACTCTGTCACCCCGGGTAGAGTGCAGTGGCGTCATCATAGTTCACTGTAACCTTAAAATCCTGGGCTCAAGTGATCCTCCTGCCTCAGCCTCCCAAGTAGCTGGGACTACAGGCACACCACGATGCCCAGCTAATTTTTCTATGTTTAGTAGAGATGGAGTCTCGCTCTTGCTCAGGCTGGTCTCGAACTCCTGAGCTCAAGCAATCCTCCAGCCTTGGCCTCCCAGAGTGCTAGGGTTACAGGTGTGAGCCACCTCGACTGGCCTGGGATGTGTTTGTACTAAAAAAAATCTGTTGTTCATCTGAAATTCAAATTTAATTGGGCATCCCATATTTTATCTGGCAACCATAACGGTGAGGCCGCTGTGTTACCTAGTATTAATAAAAGTTACTTCCATTAGTAGGCACTCCCTGCAAACGCAGGCTTTATAAACTTTGTCTCATAGCATCTCTACAAAGGGAGGTTGGGCCATGACAAAAGAAGCTCCTGAGGCCCAGAGAGGGACAGTGACTTGTCCAAGGTCACACAGAATTAATGACAGCTCTGGGGTGAATGTCAGTGTTGTGTGAGCTGGCCTGAACAGGACGGGACAATTTTCTTCCCTCCTACTTTGACACAGCTCTCAGGGTAGCAAAAGTTAGGGGTCTTACCTGGTAGCGGGACAGAGGCAGGTGAACAGGAGCTGTAGCTTTTCTGAGTTCTGGCGAGAGGGGTGAGAGTGTGCGGATCAAATGAGACAGCAGTTGCAGTGGTGGGTTAAAGAATCGTTCATTCAGCATTTAGTGAGTATCAGTACCAGGTATTTTGCCAGGCACCAGAGGGCTAAGGAAGGCATAATTTCTGTCTTTGAGGGGCTCATAGTATTCTCGTTTCCTGCTACTCAAAATGTGTTCCACGGAACAGCAGCATTGCCATGGCCTGGGAACTTCCCCAAAGGCAGACCTCAGGTTCCACCTCCGACCTGCTGAATCAGAGTCTTAATTTTAACAAATCCCTAAGCGACCCCTTTGTACATTGAAGTTTGAGAATCTCTGGTCCAGCAGGTGTTCTCAGCCTTGGCAGCATAGTAGAGTTGTTAGAGGGAACTTTTAACACGCCTAGGCCCCACATCAGACAAATTCAGTCAGATTCTGTGGGGATGGGGCCTGGGCATTTTGGAAACCTCCGAAGATTCTAATGTGCCGCTCAGGGTGAAAACCACTGGTCTCATTCGGGTTCTGTAGCGTGAGTGTACATTAGAATCACCTGGAGACCTTGTTAAAGCAGATTTCTGAGACTCATCCCCACAGCATTTGATTCACTGGATCAGAGGTGGGGTCTGAGAATTTGCATTTCCAACAAGATCCTGCTGGTCCTGGGACCACATTTTGAGAACCGCTGGTCCAGCTGGTGAGACAGAATGATTCTTAGTGATTACTGGAAGGTAACGCGTGTGAAGGTAGATGTAGGCACAGGTGGTACAGATGAGGGGCACCTACCCTGGCTGGGAGGATCGGGAACGTTTCCCAGAGGAGATGGTACACAGTTGAGTCTCCAGTACGAGCAGGAGTTAGCCAGATAGGTAAGGGGAAGAGCATCGGGCACATGGAATACCTTATGCAAAGACTTGGAGGTGTGAGAGCTGGGGTAGAGAGTGGGCTGCAGGTGTGGGAGCTGGGGAGACACACAGCTGTCCCATCTTAGGGGGCTCTGTAGGCCCTACTGAGGAACTGGAGCCACCACAGTGTCCAAGAGCCTGCCCTGCCCTTCCCCATGGATTTACTGAACTCACCCAGACCCTTGCTTGGGAGCGGGAGCCTGGTAGCCTTTCTTTTTCAGGCCCCTGCCCCTGGCTCCATTCCTGTCCATTACAGCCTCACCTTTGGTCCTGTTTGGATATTGCAGCCATGGGCATGTCAACATTGACCTGGAGATGTCAAGGACATAGCCTGATTTTTCAAAGGCCTTCTTCTTCTTCTTCTCCTCATGGGAGGGGACCTGGGCAGCGGGAAATACAGAGCTGTCGGGGGAGTGGGGGGGCGCCTGGAGGATACCCGTCCTCTGTGGCATGAGAGCGACTGGTGAGGGGTCCAGACTTCTGGAGGTAGAAGCTTCCAAGTGCTGAGCAACCAGATTGCTTTGGTAAATAGAACACACAGGTTCCATTCTTGAGCCCCACCTGTCTACTGGCCTGTGGACTTGAGCTAGTCACATTACCTCTCTGAGCTTCAGTTTCCTCATCTGAAAAGTGAGAAAGTCATGCCTGTCTGGCTAACTGGAGGGGCTATGGTGAGGCATAAATTGGAAAAAAAAATCCAAGCATTGGTGAACTGTCAAGCTCAGGTAGGCCAATGGTAGTTAGGGTCAGGGTTTGTTCTTAGGATTGGTCTCAGGAAAATGGTGGGCAAGTCCCTTTATACATACACAAGAGACTGAATTCTTATCTGTGGTGTAAGGAGCTGCCTTTCATACCTCCTACTTCTGCATATGCTGTTCCCTCTGCCTCTCAGTCCTTGCCATTCCTTTTCTTTTCTTTTTTCTTTTTTTTTAGAGACAGGGTCTTGCTCTATTGCCCAGGCTGGAGTGCAATCATGGTGCAATCATGGCTTACTGCAGCCTTGAACTCCTGGGCTCGAGTGATCCTCCTGCCTCAGCCTCCTGAGTAGCTGGGACTACAGGCAAGTGCCACCACACCCTGCTAATTTTTTAAATTTTTTGTAGAGATGGGGTCTCGCTCTTGCTCAGGCTGGTCTCAAACTTCTGGCCTCAAGTGATCCTCCCGCCTCAGCCTCCCAAAGTGCTGGGATTACAGGTGTGAGCCACCATGCCCAGCCCCTTTCCCTTCCTTTTCTACCTGTTAAAATGTTCCTCACATCTTTCAACGGCTACCCAAATGTTATCTCATCTCTGAAGTCTCTCTTCTCCCCCAGTCCCCCTCCCCACCCCACAGTGTGACCACTGCCTTTTGTACAGTTTCTTCCCTGTGTTTGTCATATGTTTAATCTGCTCATAGGTCTGTCTTCCTCACTGGACTGTGAGCTGCCTAAAGGTAAAGATTGTGGTTTGTGGCTTATTTACCCCTCGATTTCACTCCTCCTCCCCACCCCGCCCCCCCAGCACCTGGCACACAGCAGGCAGCTCAGTGTAGCGAGAAAGCATGGGTCTCTAAATCATTAAACATCACCAGGAAACTGACATCACGTGCTCCGGTGTGATGCGCTGAGAAAGACATCATCCATGTGGTATTCCTACCAAAAAAGTTTAACTTGAATCTAATCGTGAGGAAATAGGCAAATCTGAATTAGGAAACACTCTACAGAAATCTGATCTGCACTCCTAAAAAATATCGTTGTCTTTAAAGACAAAAAAAGTATGTTAAAGGACACTAAACAGGCATGACAGCTAAATTCAATACGTGTACTTAATTAGATCCTGGATTTAAAAAAAATAGCTATAAAGGACATTATTGGGACAACCGGGGGAATTTGATTATGGACTGTGTATTGTGTCGTCGTTGAGTTTTCTGCATATGCTACTCATTCTGTGGTTATGTAGCATGCCTTATTATTAGGAGATACATACTGAAACTTTTAGGGCTGAAGTGATATCACACCTGCAACTTACTCTCAAATGGTTCAGAAAAAGATTGTATGTACTGACCATACACACACACACACACACACACACACACACACAGATAAAGCAAATGTGGTAAAATGTTAATACTTGAATCTAACTGAAGGGTATATGGGTGTATGCTTGCAAATTTCTGTAGGTTTGAAATTTTGCAAATTAAAGGTGGGGAAAAAAAGCATGGGCTCTTGTCATTAGACCTGGAGGATCTAAATCTTAATTGTAAACCTTCTTCCCTGACTTTATTTTTCTTTGAGCTGCAGGACGTTGGGCAAATCATTTCCCTCTCTTGCCAAGGGTTTTCCTGACTACAAACAGGGCTAATAATAGCACCTGCCCTGTGGGGTTATGAGGCTGAAAAAGGAAGACGGACGTGAGGGGCTGAGCCAATGCCTGGCACGTAGTGAGCACGAGGCTGATGTTAACTACGGCTGCGACCATATAGTTATCAATGTACATTCACCGGAAGAGACACATAGACGGGAAGGTGGGAGTAGTCCCACCTTAAAAGTCCTGGTGCAGTCGTGGAAAATCACAAAATACCTCATTCTCCTTATCTGAAAGACTTGAGGCATGTGGGATTGCCATTCATTCCCGTTATGGGGACAAGGGTGGTGGGTCCCACTGGAGAAAAGGTCAAGGGTGGGCTCAGGTGGAAAGGCCAACCCAAGTCTGAGGAAACAGGGAGGCTCTGTGGCAGAGAGTGAGATAAACTCTTGGGGACTTGGGGGTGGAGATGTGGTGACGGTTGTCCCCCAAATGCCCCCCAGAGTGGATGAGTCACTTAGTTACTTTAACTGCTCTGCCAGCCTATGCCTCCTTCTCAGAGAGCTTTTGCTCTCAGCCCTGCTTACCGGGCAGGGGGCCATGGCCCCCAAATCTAGGCTGGTCACCAGATGTGTGCAAGCCCCTGGACGCCTGCATGCTTAATGCTCATGGGAAGGAGGGTTCCCGAGGAGGAAGTCAAACCAAGAGCCAGCTTTGTAACTGCAATGAGAATTTTAATGGAAAGCCAATTTTTCATATTTGCCTGTCGGCCCTTGTGAGGAGCTGAGATGGGAGCTCAGGAGCTCAGTCTTCCTTCCTTCTTTGCTCTGGAGGCACACTGACGTCCTTCCTGGTCGCAGAGCCATGGCCAAGCCAAGGAGCCTGAAGCTCAGAGCCTAGAGATTTCCTTTTGACAAGGCAGAGCTTCAGTAGCTTGTCCCGGCTTTAGGTGGGGGAGGCTTTTATAAGTGCCGCTGTGTGGCGGCATCTGTGCCCTCCAAAGAGGCGTTGGAGGCAGGGGACCGGGAGGAAGCCTCCCAAGCTGGCAGGCTGGTGAGGACAAGAGCAGGCAGCAACAGGAGAGTTTGGGCAAGTTTGTGTTCGAGGTGCCCTCCACCCTAGCTCATCTCAAAAGAGTTGATGTACTCTCGAACCCACTTCTTCTCTGGGTTGGCACACACCTGGCGGTTCTTTCGGGTGATAAAGCTGTGGGAGAGAAGGAGAAGAGGGTGAGAGCTTGTCAGCACTAAAACAGTCAGCTTGAAGGATGAGGTAGATTAGGCATAAAGTAAAATAATGATGGTACTGGGGTAGGGCATTTTCAGAGCTCCATAAGATTTTATTTGTGGCCTTTAAGGAGAGGACATTTCCTATGCTGGTTGGATCAAAGGGCTCCAAGCCAGAAGCAAATTTGTGTGCATTTTAACTCTCCTGCAAACACAAAAGCTAAGGGGATTTGGAGCCTTGGAGGTCAGGGTTGAGTCAGCCAAGCACTAGCCTTTTTTCAGCCCATCCTCTGTTCCAGGCCCTGTGCTGGATGCTCAAGATGCAGAGAGAATAAAGTGTCCCCCAAGAACAGAGTCCTGACTAGGTGGGAGACAAGAAGTACTTAAAAGAACACACCATTTGACTTTAGATAACACAGTGCCTGGCACAGAACAGACACTCAGCAAACGAATGCACGAATACAACTATGCGTGGCTGGGGGGGTGAAAGGACAGGAACCTGCGTTTTGATTTCACCACTTATCAGTTGGACCACGGTGTGAAATCATTTAGGGCCTCTGAGTCTATTTGCTAACCTCTAAAATGTGGATAGAAAGAATTCCTCTTTTTGCACAATTGTTCTGATGCTCAAATGATAATGCGTGTGAAGTTTTGAAAAGTACCATTAATGTGTTTTGTTGTTAGAATGCTGTGAGACCACTGCTTTGGGGTGGCCCGGAGCAACATGAGACCAGAAGTCCTGGTTCTGGATGCTGTGGCTCAGAGAGCTTGAGGACCCTGAGATCTTGGCAATGTCAAAGCCCTTCTACCAACGAAGCAGCCACAGTGTGGAGGTCTGTGCGAGTTAGAGGCCTTCTCTCTACAGGTGTGGATGGTATGAGCGGGACGTATAAAAGGTGAGAGCCTGGCTGCCGGAGACCTGGGCCTTGCAGGAAGTGCTGTCGATTAACACGTTACTTCTGGCTCAGCCCTGCCTGCTTGGCCCTTTCTCATTTTGGCTTCTCTGTTAGGATATTTTCCTGAACATTTTTTTTTTTTAATTTGAGCATTGATTTTACTTAAATTAGAACACCAGATAAAATATTTCGGAGGTTCTCGTAGGAAGAAAATTCACTATTTGTTGTACAGCTGTCCAGAAATTTATTTTCTAACTCTTATTGAGCCAACAGTATGCCACGTTATTATGTTACAACAAACGAATTATGTCTCGAAGAACACAGGAAATGTATAATTCAGCCTTTGCTTTTGTGATTACTGTCATATTTTTAAAAATATAAATGTATTCCCTTTGTTGAAGTATTATGCTCAAATATGTTCTGATTTGCTATGTACCTACCTCATTTAACTATCTTATCATTCATTCTTTGGTTTGATATTTTCATCTTTTCTATAAGCACATATCAGTGTATCTGTCAAAGTCACGAGGTTTGTGTGGTTCTCCTGATTCCATGCTTAACAGCATTTAAAAAAATTTTTTAAAAATTGTGGTAAAATGCATATAACATAAAACTTACCATCCTCTGTGTGCGAGCAACTTACGAAAAAAAATTATCATCTTAATCATTTTTAAGTGTATCCTACACATTCGTGAGCCCAGTGTTTTCAGACAAAGTGAAGGCTCAGGTTGTTTGTTGAGAATGAGGATTTCTTGGTTGCTCTTTGGATGCTATCGTGGATGTTCTGTCTTCATCTTTCCTGCGCCTTGCTCAGAGCCACTTGGTCTCTCTTCCTCCCGCCCCGGGGTGCTACGATGAGAAAAGCAGCACAAGGGGTATTCTGGGCTCTCCTGTCTCCTAATGTTTGTTTTCTTATTTGGGGTGGTGTGGGAGCCTCAGACACAGACCCTGCCCTTGTTCAACCAGGCGTCATACAGGAAATCCTGCCAGACTTGCCATCCCCTCTCCTTGGCACCCTCAGCCTGTGGCTATGAAGCCAAAAGGCCAGGAAACCAATACTTGAGGTTTCCTCAAGTATGGAGGAAACAGAGG